TACTCAAAACACTTTTACAAAACATCACATTCATTCATGCAGCAGGATAAATATGGGGTGTTGTATCTTGCCCAAAAACATGTAACTGCAGGAGCTAGGTATCCAACCCCCAAACTTGGTGACAAAAAGACAACCAACTCTACCACTGATCCACAGCCGCCACAAAACGTCCTTCCTTTTTACGCTTCACATGTTTTAAATATAACATTCACTTTAACACATTTTTCATTAAAAGTTAGCTCAGGAGTTTTAATTTGTCGGGCGCTGGTGGTGCAGTGGTTGGTGCGCATGCCCCATGTATGGAGGCTTTGCTCCTCCAAGTGGGCGGCCCAGGTTCAAATCCCACCTGTGGCTCCTTTCCAGCATGTCATTCCCTACTCTCTCTCCCTGATCTCTGACTCTATCCACTGTCCTATCTTTCCATTAAAAAAATACACAAAAAGCCCAAAGATAAATCTTTTAAAAAAAAAAAGAAGTTTTAATTAGTGAATAAATGAGCCTGTTACAGTAAATCACCACATGGGGGTGCCAGGTTACACCGTATATGAGCGTCCACAGTCTCTGAGTGTTGTTGGTGTTGCTCTGTTTTACAGAGAGGGGATGGTGGTGTGGAGTGTCGGTGGGACAGGGGTTAAATGAAGTGCACACACACCCTCCTCACACTGTAAAGGTCACTGTCTTTCCTGAAGCTCTCAAACCCAAGCTGTGTTTCTCTTTGAAGAGCCACATCTGAGTGCTCACTTCAGGAGGAAGTCTTTTATTAAACTTGGAATCAACAAGCTGTAATGGCCGGAGATGGGAGAAGCATGCAGTTTCACATGTTAAAGTATACTGTAACACTCACAAAAATCATAAAATTCCAAGTTTGAAACGTAGATGCTTTACTTGGATGACAGTTTTTGATTGAAGAGGACTTGAAATAGCAATTTGATATTTCCAGTTTGGAGTCTTTCATCATGTTTCTGTCTGACTCTGACCTAGATTTCCCAGGGGAAGTACACACGATGCTGCACATCGTCCAGTTTGTGGTTATTGTGCTCTCTGTATTTGTGTGAGTACCCCTGCGTGTGCGTACATGGCATGCATTTATGTGCCAAAATCTTTGAGTTTTACAACTGTCCCTGTCATATTTTCAGCGGTGATGACAAGCGTAGAGAAATGAGTTGCCTTTCAGAAAGGGTAACCAGTTATTGTTTGGTATTTTTATTGGTCCAAAAGAGTTTTTAAATTACGAATGATTGTATTTTTATGGCGGTCACGCTCCATGCTGGTCTCCTCTGTGTTGTGCAGAAATGACTCCCTGGAGGACACAGGGTTCTACTTTTTAGTTTGGATGGAAGACAGACTTGTCGACCTGGTTTGTGGTTTTGTTCGGAAACAAACTGCTTTTGGATCACTTTTTTTTTTTTGCCAGGGCTACGGCATGATACTGTTTAAAAAAGCTTTTCTCCATTACGGCTCTGCTTGTTTTAATCATGATCAGACTCTAAGGACTACAAACTGGTTGTTCTAAACCCCCTACAAAGAATATACAAATTAGTTTTGTTGATGTTTATTAACTTTTAACTGAACAGATATGTATTCTACCTATTGTTTGAGATATAAACCCCTGCACGCAAATGTCTGTCATTCATCTAAAAATAAAAGAATATAGAAAATTACAATATTTCTTTCAACAATGACGACAACGCAACTCACTAGTTCCCTAGTTTCAGCAGTTGTCAGTTGAGTCATAACACTTCAACTTAAGCAACATCAATCAAGTGTAATATACTATATATTTTTTTAATCAGAAACAGGTTCTGTTAAGCCTCTCCTTGCTGCTTTTTAATTTTCACACACACACAGAGTAATTTCAGTTTTAATTACTTAGTTTCTCAACTTTTTATGTTTAAAGCACTTTAACTGTGTTGGTGCTACAACTGTTTACATATTGAAAAGTCAAGGTCAGTTAAAGGTAACCATGCATCAACACCCCCACTTTTTTAAGGAGAAGCTGGTCCCTTCCTATCAGCTTGGTGATAAAGTTATCAGAGTCAAAACAGTACGGTTTTAAACAGTGGGGAGCCATGTGTGTGTGTGGGATGACTGAGTCAGACGTCAGTTTCTCGGGAGGATACACACTCACTGAGACAGACAGTCCACACCGCAGTGCCTGGCCTATAGCTGCTCTATCGTTGGTGGTCTGCTTCTGCGGGAGGTGTGTGTGGTTGAAGAGTGGGATGACATATGCACTGTTGTATAATGATAAAAGCCTGTGTGTGTGTGTGTGTGTGTGTGTGCGAGCGAGAAATAGCGAGAGAGAGGGATGCGGGAGTATAGTCGGAGGTATCCTCACACACTGAGAGATAAAATGAATGACTGCTGTTCTCATCATAACAATCGAGCTACTGGAGGAGAGGCCCCTCTCTCTCCCAGAAAGGCAAACAGCTGCCCCGCGCCTCTCCTATCCAACAGAAAGCATTTCTCTTCACAGAGTATGTTTTGACTTTCAGAAACTTGTTCAGAATTCCTCACCCTCTTTCCCATATCCACCGCTCGCGTCACTCGTTCTCATCCGCAGATTTAAGCTGTGTTGAATGTTTTTCTGCACAATTTCACAGAAGGCCCAGTGACGAGGCTAAACATTTCATCACAGGGTTGTTATTTTGTGAGACCAGGCCAAAGCAAACTTATGGCTGGTGAAGAATGTAATCATTTATCTAAGACCGGAGGCAACATACTCAATTAAACCTGAAATAGGGCCCTGTGGTACCCATAGTGACAAGAGCGAGGTCGTGCTTGGGTGCAATTGTATATGTTTCTGTGCATATTCGGGAGAAAACGGTTAATGTCAAAGCTACTGAGCTGCTACCAGATATTGAGCTTGTTTGTACTTCCTCCTGTGTTTACTGCAGATGGAGATAAGCATGTTTAAGCATCGGGCTTGTGTAAGCTGTTGGGGGCCTCACTGGCACTGTATGATGTGGTGATTATAAATGTTATTCAGTAACTGGTCCAGCCTTGCAAAAATCCTTTAGAAAGTTAGGGAAAAGTGCTTCCCCAGCCCTGAAATCTCATCTAACACACACCCATGGCAATCATTAGTTGCTGGGAATTTTATCTGCCTTTGGTAAGGTCAAGCTTTCCCATCATTCCCTGAAGGATTTAATGTCCCTATCGCTTGTGGCCCGACCTACCAGAGCCTTAAAACTTGGTAGTGTAATGACTGTCATTAACCTATCAAGATCTGCTGAAGGCTCCTGGCTGCTTTTTCCCACCCCATCTCCACTTGCCACTTTCCCTCCATTGCCAAAAATCCAAGATGGTTCCTTTGGATCTGTGTTCTTTCCCTCCAGGGGGGCGGAGAACACCAAAGTCAACAGTCTAATCTGGATTGATTTATAAAATAGCCATGGCGATTTGGACATTATCTATCTATGTACCCATGACTGGAATGCAGCTCATTCTCCCCACTGGACATTCTTTTGCCCTGTCGCAGTTTCAGTTAAAATGTGGTCTCTTGATAGCCTGAAGTGCTTTTCTTGTTTTTATTGGATTCTCATGTTCATTAAATAATGAAGTCTTTTCTGTGCTTTTCTGCTCTTTGCTTTTGTGAACACCAGACCTAATCTGGGAACAGACCACTTGGGTCAAATGTGGTATTAATGCTTTACAGCAGTGAGTGAATGGTGCTTTGTCTGTTCGTAAATAAACAATAACCCATCAGACTGAGCTGGAGACAAGAAAATGGATGCTCTGTGCCAGTCCGTAGGTCTAAGTCTCACTACTTTTTTTTCATGGTGACAATTCAGAATTGTAAAGAATGTACAGCGTGGGTGTAACAATTAAAGGCATAAATAAGTCACCATTTCCGGTCACCAGATGTGCTGTCTCTTTGTAACTATAATTTGCAGACCTCTGGAGTCTCATTGCGCTGCGTCCCACCACAGCTGCATCTGCTAGTGTTTTGTTTGGTACAGCCTGAAGCATTTTGTGTTTGTATGTGTGCCTGTGTGGTTCAAAGTGCCTGTGCATCTGTCTTTTGTGTGTTGTGTTCTGTTTTGTGGATGTCCATCAGATAAAGGCTGTTGAAAACCACAACTGGTTTTACACCACCACTTTATCGACATGAGGTTAGCCACAGAAGGCAGATGTAGAGACATGTAAGCCCTGAAGTAAAATAGCTGAATGAACCCTTAGATTGGCACTGCTTAGATGGGACTGGAGCCTGTTTGGTCACACTAGCTAATGGCTGTGTTGTCCCCTCAGTGTTAGATCTGCTCTCTTTGTGGATCCAGCTGTAACTGTCTTGACTTAAACTGTACAGTGGAGGCTTTCATTGATGCTCATTTTTCAGCTGCACGTCAAACAATGACGATTACAACAGGATGTTGTTGAATCCAGCTAGAGGCTGAAACATCTAGCCAGAGTCTGTTTTCATCTTCTTGAGGAATCTGTACTCAATGGAATAATTCCTTTAGGGTACTTTTGTGTGACAATAGACTGTATAAATAATGGATGTAGCCATCATGACATCACCCACTGGTTTAGTGGCTTCTCTTTGTAGCTTTTAGTTTGGCAATCTGGCCGTCTCCATGGTGATTTTCTGGATCCAGAAATGACCCTTTTATGGAAAAGGGGGTGGAACTAGTGGGGTTGGCAAATGCCAAGTTATTAAAGCTATACAGTCTGCGCCTGCTAGTCAATAAGATGGTTAACCCATAGGATTAGATATTATTTTTGGTGGTAGATGACTAGATTTTTTTAGACTTAATACTTCAGTATTTCCCACACATAGACGATACTTTGGCCGCCCCGGTATATTTCCGACCTATTTTAATGTATTCACAATTTATACATGTACAAACCTAAAATTAAAATATAGCTTTTGGAATGTATCAGAATTGCTGCACCCACACCCACATCTATATGTGAGGTGAGTGAGTTAAATCAATACACTACTAACCTTGGCTTCTCTTTTTCTCTGTCTGTCTCTGATTTTGTCTTCCTTTCTTCAGATCGAGAACCTGTTGGAGCAGTTGAAGGATAAGGACAAACAGCTGGCTGGGTTGAGGGAAAGGGTCCAAGGCCTTCAAACTGACTCAAGCAACACAGACACAGCCCTGGCCACACTGGAGGAAGCCCTCTCAGAAAAGGTACAGAACAGGAGTTTAGCAAAGGGGAAATTGGAGGTAATGAACAAGCTAAGTAAAAAAATACTGAAGCTAAGGGTTGGGTTTGACATGTAGCTCTGTTTTGAAAATTTATGGAATTTATAGTGGGAAAACTAATCCACATGCAAAACTTGTGTGTCAGGTGTAGACATTAAAACTCACAAATGAAACCATTAGACCACCACTTGGTCTCAAACCGCCTGGAAAATTTTACACATTGAGGCACACTGGTCTTTTAGGAAGCTTGTATACAGCACAGGGCTTAATTAAGTTGCCTTTGCAATGACTCACTGCCATAATTTACTGACACAGTCTCCTAATTTATGGACTTTGGGCCACACTAGATGAGGTCTTGTCTGAAAACAGTGAGAGAGAGAACAGAGGTCTAAGGTGAACATAGACTGAGGATTAGTCCTTGTCAGTAACTGAGCTTAACATAGGGAGGGTATGATCTATAGCATTAGAGGAGGAAAGAAGTTTTGAAAGGGCTGAGGAATCGAAGGATGGAAAAGTGGAATGGCAGAAGAGGCACAGGCCTGATGGAAGAGGTGGCCTGAGAATTAAGGGAGGGAGAGGTCAAGGAATGCAAGGGTGGAGGCACAGTAAAAAATTAGTAACTTGTGCGAGACATATGAAAGAAGAAGAGAAAAGGCAGAACTGGCAAGAAAAATTCAGTTACTAAGGGATCAGACAGGGAAGGAAAATCAGATAACACAGCCAAGAACCTATAGAGGGAAAAAAAATGAACCATCGTGTCCGTGAGGGAACATAATGAGAGAGATAGCACAGACATGATGTACTTTAAAAGTATACAGTCCTGATCTAATGTTGTGCTGTTAGAAAAAACAACATCATTTATAACGCTGTTCAACAGTTTTCCAACCTAATTAATTATCTCTGATACGAGGGATGACAGACACAATCTTGCACACAACACTCTTTGTGAATCCATTTGTATTTGATGGTCAAGTACATTGCAGAGCAGAAATCGCAGAGCTGTGAGCTATGACTGCCATGTGAATTGAGGTGAATCAAGCAGACTAACTCCATATGGATGGACGGGTGAGTGGATGTTGGTCGTAAACATTCAGCGTTTGTTGTTTTCTGGCAACATGGGAGAGCAGCTGGTCTCCATAAAGCTCACCTCAACACAACTGAGCTAGCACTAACACTTAAAGATGAATGGACTTGTTGGCCACTGTGATGTTTTGTGTTCAGTAAAATACATTGCTTTTTAACGGACAGGTTATTCACCCAATAAAACAGCAACATAAAAAAAAGTCAGTTGCGAGGAGCTGAAATGCTAATGTCGTTCATTTTATTTATTTTCTTGTCGACACAAGCTTTGAGCCATGTGTTTATGAACTTGAGTGAATGGTTGATTTTTAATTGGAGCCTGGATTGAACAGTGTGACTTTGATGATATACTGTTCTGACACTGACCATGGCGTGGCCAGATCCTTGGATGGCAGCATCTACACACTACTTGTAAGCGTCCTGACCGAGGATGACATGACGTTTCTTAACATTGCTGCATGATTAGAGCTGAGCTAGCACATTTGTTGGAGCTGCAATGTAATGACATGATTCCTATATAAAGGATACCATTTACATATTTATATGTTCTGTCGGCTAAAAGATGAATCCAATTCAGCTTTTTGTTTTCACTGGCTGCTGCTAAAAAGAGGAGTTAGTAAGTTTAGATTGTGCTGTACATCTGAATGAATACGTGTGGCAAGGGTGTAGAATTGGGTAGCGACAGTGAGGATGTATCCCCACCAATGCAGACAGCTTTCACCGTTATAGTGTCTGTTAACAGAGACGCCAGACTGAAGAGAAATCGACTTCACAGATACACCTCAGAGTTAAACAGAGCAACAACAGGATTCATGAACAAATATTCTGCTTTTGTTCTTCTGTCCGTATGCAAGAGCTCTCTCTCTCTCTCTCTCTCATGTAAATGTGTAACCTTCTCTCTCTCCACAGCATCTTTGGAGTATATTTAATATATAGCGCCCTCTCGTCTTGGTTACAGCGTGTAAGCAGGTGATTAAAGAGCTCTGACATGTCAAAGTACTAAAGAAGTATTGTATAGGATGTATCAATAAATCATTGACTGTTATTATGTTCTGATGATTGATTTAACTGAAATGATTGCTCCTTTCTTGAAAAGTAAGTTGTGCTAAAGTGCTGTTAAAAGACGAAGTTCAAACTTTTTCAATTTGATCTATGCAACTCAATGTTTGTGTGTTCTCAGAAAATCCGTCTATTAATAGACAAGATGTGAGATGTGAGAAGGACCAACACACTTAGATGGTTTCACTTAGAATGTTTTTTTTATCACCTAATTTTGTTTCTGATGCCGACAGACTTTGAAATGAATAGCATAATGGCACAATAAACTTTCAATCCTTTTTCCTCCGTGGCCCATCTGTTTACCCAGAAACCACTTCTGATATAGCCTACATATAATTCAGCTGCGATGAGGAGAACGTTGGCGAGTGTTTCAGACTTTGTGGTCAACACAGGGTGTGTGTAATGTGTTTACAAGAGAGTGTGTGTGTGTTGCTAATCACACACCCTGTCACAAACCTGCTCTCGGAGCCAGTTGTGCGCCACACTGCTGTGGTTCTAATTAACAGGATAGGGCATTTTGCCCAGGCCCAGCCCTGCTCTTTGGTGTGTGTGTCTGTTATACTGTGTGCAAGTTTCTTTTGTGTTTACTTGTGCGCCACACTTAAGTCTCATAGAAGTAGATTTTATTACCACATCCTGGTCTCTTACCCTGAACCCCAAACATCCTAGAGATATTTCATAATGTGGGGAAAACACCCAGGACCTATTAGCCATCTGAACTCTCTCCTTCTTTCTTCTCTCTCTCCCTTTCTCCCTCTCTCGCCTTCTCATCCAAAGCCCAGTATGCAGTGTGTAACTGAGCCAGGTCTAGTTAGTGGCTGTATTTGTCCAATTGCCCAGAGATTAAAGCTGCCAATCATGTGGCGATGCCACATCGTAAAGCCTCATTGCTGAGTTTCACTCTGTGCCTAAATAAACACCTGAGTAAACACCTTGGTAATCACTTCTGTCCACACCTTAACACACATATATACACTGTAACACACCTACTACACACACCTTGCATAGTCCACCACCCATGGTGTGGAGCTGGTCACAGGCCAATGCCCAAAGCCGTGGTCCCCCTGCTGCCCAGCGTGATCAGAGAATAGAGTAAGTTATGATGTAAACATTCCAACTAGGTTTATCAGAAGGCAATGTGGAGCTGTAAGGACGTGATCTACAGTACTGTTGAATCTGTTCTCAATAAATCTGTCTCACTCCCTCAGCCCTTCTCCTCCTTCCTCCAACTCTCTCTGTCCTAGTTGGCCCTCATCTCCCCATGTCCCTGCTATTATTTATGGTAGTATTATTTATGACGAGCATTTATGAGTTTATCTTTGGCCGCACTTTGCGAAGCATGCTAGTGAGCCAATTCAGCAAGAGACTGGTTCAAACTTCCAATAATGATAGGAAAGAACTGTAATCACACAGGACTGATGATCTCTTGCCCTGGGAATAATAAAAACAACATAAATTGTATCACAATTCTTCTGTATGATCAAGCTTTTATGCAAATAATAGCTTTCTAGCATCTTAAACTTATTCCATCTCTCACCTCTGTCTTCATACTATTTTTCATAGAGATGTCTTTTTTCACTCTCTCAGGAGCGAGTGATTGAGAATTTGCGTGAGCAAAAGGAGCGGGAGGACAGGGTCCACCTGGAGGAGCTGGATCAGATGAGGAGAGAGAATCAGGAATTAAAGGACAAACTTTCAGCCCTGCAGCCCCAGAAAATGTCCCTGAGTCAACCTGTCAACCGCAGCCCGACGCCGAACCAGAGGCCTGACGGAGAGGTCAGTGCAGATTGTTTGGATGTAGTTATGATGACTAAGGATTACATTTGTTGAAGATTTTTTTTTTTTTACATAATGCATGTCATAGCGTGTTGTAGGGATGAAAAAAAAAAAAAGTATTCTAAGAAACATAAATGAAACTCCAAGTCAGAAGAATTTGCATGTTGATCTGAGAATTGTACCCGACAGCTCAAAATGCTAGTCTGGCATTTGTCTGCCACTAGAAATAAACAGTAATTAATATTTCATCGTTGCCAACATTATAACAGACTTGCACATGCAAGCAGACTTGTGCTGAGTTCTAAAACGAGGCTAAACATAAAATCTCATTTCACAGACACTATAAAACAAATAAGTAATCTTTTTCTCGAAGCTTTTACTGTTCCACACTTCAAATGAACAAACATGACACTTCACAATTATTTTTTATTATACAAAAAGAATTAAAAGAATTTACTTTTACAGACACTCTGCAGTGGTTGTAATATGCTCCTTGTACCCTGTGTTTATACTGTTAACATCTACAGTAACAGTAATTTCACTCTCTTACCTCCCTGTGAGCCTTCAGAATACTGTTAGAAACTCCCTAGCAAAGGGCCTGCCTGCACTTTGTCCTACAGGATAAAGGGATGAATTAAGAGAGAATGATTTATGGAGGTAAAAGATCCCTCGATCCCTGTTTGGGTGCCAAGTCAGAGGCCTCGCTGTCTTTTTTCCCTCTCTTTTGACTCTGCGAGGCTTACAAGCCAGGACAGACTCTCGCCCTGCTAGAATTTATGAGAATATTTTCTTTTATTCCCATAAAGAGCATACACACATCTCATTCCTGTGAAATGATATCTTGTTGAATGTTGACGCTGCGCTACATGAAAGCAACACTAGCGCCATAACTCTTTGTAGTGAGCCGATCCACTCTGACAGATGTGTTGCCATAATTGGACTATTCTGTGTAGTGGCAGAAATCAGGGCCTGTTATGTAAACCTATATTTTCATTAGAAAGACACATGATGTGTTTGTGTTTTTGTTTGTGAGTTTGTGCGTATATGTGTGTTTCTGTCTCTGTGCATGTGCATGCAGCTGTGTGAGTGTCTGAGTGTGTTGATGTGTGTGATCCTATTGTAATGCAGTGGAGTGTGACAGGTCGTGCAGTTGTAATACTCAGTAGGCCAGAGGTGAACAGACATGGTGCCCGGGATTAAAATCTGATCAAACCAACCTGCGACACTCACAATCACATACACACCCAGATCCATCTCAGTGCAATCAGCCGATGTATAACATGATTTGATACCGACAGCCATGTGTACTGTTGTTCTTAATACAGGATTATGCAAAAAAAATTACAAAATACATTATTCTACAAATGGGGAAATCTTATCAACTTGTAGATGTCAAGAATCCATCACAAAAAAAAAAAAAACTAACAGAATAAAGCAATTCACTATCAAGCCTTTAAGGCTCCATGGATTGATCCTAATGGTCAGGGTGATGGAATAAGTGAAACTAAGGTCAAACAGTAATTAATAAGGAATAAACTGGGCAATGTACTGGACACTTTATTGAGTTTATTGCTCAGTTGGTTTGGTTAAAAGCATCTTATAGAATAATGTTTGATGATGTTACAATACTAAAGTTGGGGCTTGGTAATTTACATGAGATATTCCCTTATTACTGTAACAGTGTGTTGATGCACCAGGTTTTCATAGGATATTTACAGCAGTGGTTAGATTTAATTATGAAAAGTGTCTTGAGAAAATTAGCTGAATTCCTATTTTGGCTGTCACATGTTTTAATGGTACAAACATTTCTGTAAGTGGACACCAGGTCAACTTTTCAGAAAGAAATGCATTTTATCTCACAAACAAGCTAAATATAGAAATGCTTTTAAAATGCTTTAATTGATATAAATATGTGTATGGAAGAAGTTCTTATTTAATGTTCATCAAAAATATTTCTAAAAAAGGGAGAAATAATCTTTCTGCCTGACATCAGTTTACCTCTGATTGAAGATGTAGATGTTTGTGTTGGCCAGCAGGCTGTGTACACACAGTGGCCCACTCACTGTATTTTTAGATATTTGTATTACTAACTCAGTCAAGCTGTTAGCGGAACTTTTATCCTGACCTCAGAGCTCTGTTGACTTCATTACATCCTCATCCTTTCCCATAAAGCAGTATCCGTTGATTCCGAGGTTAATAAAGGACTTCCCTAAACACTAGCTCTAAGAAGAGTGAAACTGTAAAGTACCTCAGGGAGGGTAAGGACCTTTCTATAAAAGGTTGACTTAAATCAGAATGAGGTACCACACCTCAGCTTTGGAGTCCTGTTCAAAAATATTGTTTGGTCTTTTTTCCAACCAGGCCGATTTCATAACTCATTTAATTTGTGTTGCCCCCTTTTTGGTGTCCTATGTTTCTTTGTGATGACAATATGGAGATAATAGTTAAAGATATTGACGTTTGCACTGACAAATATGTCAGGTCACATGCTGTAAATATCTTTGATTAGAACCTGACAGATAAGGGTTTGCTGATATTGTTGGCAAATATGGGTCTATCACAAATAGAGTGGTATATGGGGGTTGTTGTTTTTTTTTTTTAATATCAGGGGATAAAAAATCTTTGACTGGACAAATTATGCATCAATAGCTGTGTTACAAAGTTTGCTCAGCACTGCACACTCCAAATCCATAGTTTAATACATGGTCGTAGTGTAGACTGTGGTCTACACAATAATTGGTTTAACATTTTTAAACATTTAAAATGTTCATTGATCAAATTAAAGGTCTTATAAAGCAACCTTTGCAAAGCCGAATTGTTGTGAAATCCACGCTGAAAGGTTCTATTTTCACTCCAAATTCCCTGATTAGATTTCCATGTAGATAAAGGTGAGTTTTTCATGTGGGCCTCAAAATTCTCGTACCTGTCGCCCTCTGACATATAGTGCACAGGGACAGATTTACTACTTTACATTCACATGCTGCCCAGCCTTGGTGTATCTGGGTTTCCTCTGACCAGGAGTTAAATAACCGAGTGCAGATGCTGGTGACAACACATATTTATTTTATTTGTACTGTTTTCACTTCAGACACATCTCCGGGAATGATAATAATTTCAGTTACAGTATATGTAATCATATCTTTTCTGGCCTTCCACCTCCTGTCATAATATCACAAATTCCTGCTGGACCAGCGGCCCTCTCAGCCCCGGCTCTTATCCTGCCTGTGTTTTCTCTTAAAAGAATATAACAAACTCTAGTCCACTTAGGCCTAATGCATTTTGTGCAAGCTTAGATTGGCTTTGAGTGCAGGAGTGTATGTATGGCTAGTGGTGGAGGTAATGGGGGGTGAGGGCAAGGTAAACAGTGACTCTGCTTGCCCCTCTTTTCATGTCATTTGACTTACAGTAGAGGCACGAGTGTAAACACAAACATTGACGAGCTTAAAGGGCTTTTTAAGGGCGCATGCCGAAACACTGTGCATTGTAAACAAGTCAATTAATTGAGATAGGATTCAAACACCAGAGAGATAGACTGCAATAATAATAGTGATTCAGACTGATTTTTAAACCTTTACAGATAAAGTTGTTCCAGTACAGATCATATACTGTCGCCTCCACAGCAAGCTTTGCTCTGCTGCCACCATAACTGCCACTGATATCTACTGTTTCGGAGCAGAACAAACTAATTGATTGTTTAGTCTTTATTACATTTTGATTGCCAACAACCACAGAATGACACTAAAAGAGAGTGTAACATTAGCCAGAGCAAACTATGAAATGTAGTTTTAAGTTAAAAATCTGTGATTCTCAACACTCAGCATGTCTGAAGGTTTTCAGGTAAGCACTCTACTGTGATTTGTTGCTCCTGTGGTTGAAAATGGGTCTGAAAAAAAGCAGAGGTATGCAGAGGTATGCAGCTTTTATTTTTAAGCCTAAGGTGAATTTACAAATTCAGGTATTAGAAATGGCATGAAAGGAGAATTTTTTTTAAATCTCTGTTTTCTGACAAAGCTGGCAAAATGTGTGCCTCTATTACAAGTAAAAAAAAATCAGGACATTGTACACATGTAGTTGTTCTCCTGCTGTTCCCATGGTTATATCTCCCATATGATTTTTGCCTATGGTTTGTCTTTTGAATAAGGAAGAATCATTTCTTCACATAGGTCATGGTGAGAGTTTACCGACATTCCTTTTTTTTTCTAATGACAGACTCAAGGAGAGCTACATGAACAGTCCCAGACTCATGTCGACCTAAATATAAATTGCTTGCTGTGTCTTTGCACACATTCACTTGATGATGTTTAAACGACTGGCCTCAGCTGTTTCAACAAGTTCAACAATCTTCTCCGACACATTGCAGAGAGAGAAGTAAGGACTTAAACAGAGAGAAAAGTGGAGAGGGAGATAATTCTAGGTTGCAAACTTCCTTTGGGATATTTTTCTCAGAGAACAAAGAATTCATCAGTGTTACTTTTTTTTTTTAACAAAAAAAATATATATATCTTAGATGTCTGGTGGTCTCGTAAAATCGCAGCCCAACAGAGGGTGATGGTAATTTTATAATGATAATGACTGAACTCCAAAGTCGACTTGACGGACGCCCCAGGGAGAGAAATGATAGAAGCAAACCACAGAAATGCAGGCAGCAGAGGAATCAGGGGGGGAATGAAAGCGGATGGGGGGGTGTACAGATTGGTTCTGCTTCAGCTACACTGTGACCCTAACCACATATTCAGGATTGCATTACTGTTTCTTTAAACTTTCAAATCTCCTCATGCAGGATGATCTCACAACTGACCCTGTGTAATTTTCTGTATCAAATTGTTCAGACCGTACAATGTTGAGACCATAATTATTTTTTATTCTTTATTCTTATTTTCCATCTTTTTATAACTTTTTGCACTTACTTCTAGGTTCCAGCAAAAGTAGATGGGCTACCAGCAGGAAGCCCCACGGTAGGTTCTGTTCTTGTTTATTCCTAGCATTGTGTGTCGTGTGTTTGTGTGAACTAGCTTAACTTTAATATGTCGGGAGTTGTGCTTTGTCATGCATAGCTCAACATCCATCAGTCCTGTCTGTCCTTTGTCCTTTTAAGCAACACTTTGTCATACTTAGCTCGACTTGGTCAGTCTAAGCAGCAATATAAGTCCCAGCTGCACTAAATTGGCCTCAGGTGTAATTTATGAGCTTCATGTTGACTCCGTCCTCTTCATTTTGTCAGTATTAGCTGGCATTATGTCGACTTCACAGGAACTCCAGGCTACAATTAAATAATACTGCCTTACCTTTATCATGCCGTTCCATCCCTTTTTTTTGGCTTTATAATTATAGTGCAATTTATGAACTAAGCTGAGCTACTGTGGAACAAGCGGTTTTATCACTTTGATGATTATATCTATTACATGCTGTGTGAGGATTTTTGTCAAACTGGTCACTGTGAATCTTTTCTGAGGAAATTGTTTTCACTGAGTATTGTATATCGCTACCAACCAGACGACAGCACCAACTGGCATTGAAAATAATTATAAAGAAAAAAGCAGCTTTGCTGCTAATGGCCTGGTTTGCTTTAATAGCCCATGAAAAGGAATCTGTTTTAAGTTCAGTCAGTCTCATAACAAGACTGAAACAACTCTTTGCTATATTTATCTAAAACTAGTCTGAAGCTGCTTCATTTCGACTGAAAAGAAAGTGCTATTCAATTTGCTTACATTACAGGCTAATGGAGGTTGAAGAAGTTTCAACGCAACAGTTTATATTGAAAGATAATTTAAGCCGGCAAGGATGTTAAAATGAACAGGGCTAGAAAAGCTGAGTTCAAAATCTTGTAAACGGTCTCCAAATCATTTTGGTACAGTATTGCAATATTTTCACCCAATGCACCCATTCCATCTCTGTGTCCTGTCCCCCTTCCCAAAGACCCAAAACATGGAAGAAGCATTAAGGAAATGTCCAGACATCACAGATCGCCTGAGGCTCCTGGAGCAGGAGGTTGCCCGCAACAGAGAGGAATCAGGGAAGTCACAAGCAGAGGTGGAAAGGCTAATGGCAGCTCTGCGAGATGCTGAGACGGACAAATCGTGCAAGGAGAAGAAAATTGCTGATCTTGAGAGGTGAGGGTCAAAATTCAATGACATAGATATCTATCTAAGGACAACATCTGGGTGTCCTCAGAGTGTTCAGATTTTTGTAAGATCTCAATTCAAGTGTTCTATTTATAAAAGAGTAATCCACAAGACATAAACTGTCTAGATTGTGTCCTCCCAGCACTTAAGACCACTTCCACACTGTCATGATTTTTCCCTGATGTAACAACACTGTGGAAATGCACAAGGTGACCTATGTTCATGTGTTATTTTGAATCATTTGGCTTAATGTTTTACTATTTCTTTCTGTAACAGCATCTGCAGACCAGGGTAAGTACTTCTTAGTGTGCCTCTTAAACATACCATCATCATACTGCCTACATTTTCCATAAGCTTCACTTTTGACGCCATGCCATGATTGTTGGGTTGATGTGAAACTTTCCCAGGTAATAAGTTGGAAATTGTGCAATTTGGCTCAAATTTAATTCGAAGCAATCTTATGTTTGACGATCCCAGTAGGACAGTAAATGTACAATGCTACTACGAAAAACAATCCTGGTTCTTATTCCTGTCACTGCATTAGCACAACTAGAGACTTTATACGTTTCCTGATGCATATCACTGGAGACCTATAGCTTCTCTGTTGTGTTCCCTTCACCAGTGCCATCAGTACTATTACGCTTTTGTTTTCTCTTTTCATATTGTATTTCTCACAAGTGTTTGTAAAATCATTGAGTTGTCCCGTCCATGAAAAAAACAAAGAAGAGGACCCAAGTGCAGATCACAAAACTGAATAATTTATTTAACAAAGAAAAGAAAAGACAAACTACAGCGTACTTTTTCAAGTCCATAAAAAATTCATAAACAAGGGAAAAAAATGTATCATTGGGAGACACAAGGAGAAATACCTGGAAGAGTCAGGAACACAGACAAAGGTAGGAAGCAAAACAAGACAAGAAACACTGGAGACAAGAACTACAAAATACAAGGGGAAACGCTGCAGACTTATATCAGAAATAAAATAGTTCACAGACAACAGGTTAAAGAAGAGAAGACATAGAAGGCAATAAATACTAAACAATATAGGAAACACTAAAGACAAGACTACTAAACAACAAAACGAGGAATAAACTAACTAAACAAAAGTAAATCATGACATGAATAAGTGCTTGTGTTTTTCTCATTGCATCACTGTGAGTTCATACAGCAAGTGTTTGTGCATTTACGTTTTTGATTTTGCCAGGCAGGCAGCCAACAGCATGCCAGTGGGAGGTGCAGTATCCCAGACACTGGCTGTTTATATTACTCTGTTTATTACTGGCACAGTGCTACTCAATTATCAACTGATTTATGGATTGGCATGGTGTGTATACGCACCCAAATGAGTGGTTGTTTAGTGCCAGCAAAGAGACACTGGATGTTGACATCAAGTTTGTGGTTGAATCCAAGAAAAAAGCATCCATTTGTATCTCTTGTAGTTCAGGTCTGAATGAGACACAGTTACTTTAGTCAGTGCAGGTCGTATATATGTAGATTTATGTTGGATGGTTTTTCTATTAGAAGATTACTGGTACCACAAAAGTAGCCACAACTGTAAAACACATGTAAAAAAAAACAAAAAAAACAATTTAGTAGCCATCGTTGCCCCCTCAGGTGTGATAATGCTAGCTATGTTTCAGAGTGGTGTAAAATCTATCTGGATGGGCTGCATGTTCTGTATCCAACATAGTTTCCTGCCTCATTCATTACCCGTTTTACGGACTCTCAACTCTGGCAAGGAACCCAAGTGCTGACTCAAGCTGTGTGGGAACACATAAGAGTCAAGTATAATGGGGATACAGTAGCTCCCGCAGAGTTTGTTCACACAGTCCACTCTCTGTTTCAAGGTGTATGTGCATGCGTCATACCTTTCCCTACATACAGCTGTCACAAGAGTGTGTTGATCTGTGCCCTGAGTTTTTCGTACATTCATGTGCACAGCCGTTTTTTTTTTTTTTGGGGCAAGGGATTAGACTTTCAGGAGTTTCTTTTCCATCTCTTGTCTCTTTATCGAGGCTGCTGTCTCATTAGAGTCAGCTAGTCACTCCTTTCAGACTGGTCTGACCCCTACCCTCAGGTCAGTGCCTACAGGTCAGACGTCACTGCAGGTCAGTCAGAGGTTATCAGAAAAAGTCAACTGCTGTCATTCAACTTCAGCTGCCAAAATATACGGATCCAAAATAAAGTAGTATTTCTTGAAGTCAGGATCACACAATAAAGTACTTGATATATGTTTATATTAACTATGTAAAGGTGTTTTAGATAAAAGTAGAGAATAATGAGAATAAAGAGTAGAAACTCTGATTTAAAAATGACATAAGACATAAATACAGTCCCAACATGCATCATTTGACAGCAGGGGCCCTGTGTGCTGATTGGACTTCTGTATAAAACTGTGCAAGATTTCCCCGAGGAGGATGAATGTCTTTTTAATCAGTGTTTCTGTTGGACCTCGGTCAGATGACCTATTAACCACTATCTGGAAGAAACTAGGGAATAACAGATGAGGAAGTATACACTTTCTCATCCTCTTGGCAATGCAGCAAAGAGAAGAAAAGATAAATGTTGCCAGCTATTCATTGTAATAAATACCTTCCAGCACAGGAGAGAATTACTGTCTGCTATTTTAGAGTGTAGATCTCAGATTGACTGTAGGTTATTGTTGGAGTTTTTGGTGCTGTTTTGTTAGAAGGTGTTATTGTGGGGTAATCAGCTTGGATGTTCAGAGACATGTAACAGGATTTACAGAAGGCATCTGTATCAGCTGCTTACACTAATGCTTATAGTTGGATTGGTTAAGTAGAGCTCTGAAAGCCGTTGTTATTTATCTCTTTAAGCAGTTTATTTGGATATAGAAGACTTACATTGTCATTTGAAAAGATTAGATAATATGAGTCAGGTTCCGTTTGTGTTCCTTATTCAATTCAGAATAAGATATTCAAGTATGAAAAAATGAGACAGGCCGAAATTAGATGTCAAAATATGAGGTATAAAATTTGGTTAATACATTTTGTAGTTGCTGAAATTTGATTGGTCAAATTCAGATGCAAAGATATACGAGGTTTGAAATTCCAATTAAACATCTGGAAAGCAATCAATTCAAAAACAAGTCAAACCAACACCCAGCCAATCAAGTTACGCTCCATTTGTCGCATGACTCAGGCTTTATGTCAAGACCTTAGATTATACACAAACGATGGATTATATGCATATTTTATAGCCTTCCATCTGCTCCATCAGGGCAGATGGAACGGATTGACTTATATTAAAGCCTTCTTCTAAATGTTGTTACAGTCCTACATTTTTAATGTCTGCCATGATGTCGGGGCCAAACTTTGAGAAATAATTCAACCTCCCAGTCACACAATATCTCAACTATTGACCTGAAAAGTACTCTGGTATGTAGGGGAGGGCTACAGGAAAAGGGAGGTGTGTGTGTCTTTGTGTGCGTGTGTATTTGTGCACATACAGTATGTGTGCTTAGGGTGAAACTGAAGGAAATGTTGGTAGTTGAGTTGGTAATGGTCGGTCAGTGGATAAAAATCCCACAGCGTTGGATGATAAATATTCACACACTCACAAACCAAGAAGTAAACACAGACCAATCATTGCTGGCCTTATTCCTATGATTATAATCAAACACCAGATGTTGAGAGCATCAGTCTTTGAAAACAGAACATCTGTACGCATACACGCCAATACACAGATTACCTCTAAAGTCTCTGTGTATAAGAGTTCTTTATGAAAATGCCTTTCTGTGTATTCACAGGTGTCTTTAGCATTGAAACAGACTGGTCAACTTCTTGTTTTACTCAGTGTTGAGATATTCCGGTCTGGGCAGATACGGTTCACCATTGAATCTGGTACTGCTGAAGTTTTACTTTTCCACTGTAGCAATGTGTTAGGTATTAAATCTCTCTGAATAATAAAAAAAATGTACACCCTCGATCTGCGTATTGTTAAGTGTCATGAGATGACTTTTGTTGTATTTGGTGCAACATAATCAAAAAAAGGAGTTGCACCTGCAGCACTAACATAGTGTTGAAGAGATAAAGAGGAAATTATATAATATAGAAATAGAGAGCAGAGCTTTGCTTTGACGGCCAGGAATAAAGCGGAGCTGCTTATGTTGGAAGGTGAATATTTGGAGTGCTCCAGGTGAAAAAAAAAGCACAAGGAAATGTGAAGAATTACTTATTACGCTTGGTTTAGGAAATGGCTGGATTCATGCATAGCGCTCTCCCTCTCACTTAATCTTTCTCAGAAATGTCACGCCAATAAAATACAATTTCCCCCCATGAATTGACTCATTTCAGCAATCAACAAATCACATTTCTCCTTCATATTTTCCACTCATATGCAGCCCAGCCCATCTGCTCTTTATTCACACTCCGCAAGCCCTCATTTGCCTTCACATTGGTCAAAACACTTACTTCATTTTGCACTGATGGGTCGATGGGGGTGTATCAGCTATCAGAGGGGACCAGCGCGTCTGATGGTTTATACACCTGTGCCAGTAGCGGCTGTATGTGATAGCTGATATGGCCCTCATGGCAAGTTTGTTCTCCACAGACATGCCTCTGAGCATATAAAAAAACACACACACACACACACACACACACACATCAAAGATCTCACTATAAACTGATTCTCCTCCTCCTCCTCCTCGCTGTGAAAGTATGCGTGCATGTGTACCTTTATTTCATTCATAATGTTAACAGAAACAAGCGATAATCTTTATTTATGCAGCACTTTTCAAATCCCACTCGTAAAAAAGATAAAGAAAACTTTTAAAATCAACAGCACAGTCATAAAACAGGAATAAGTCAGGTACATGAAACGACAGGCGTAATAAATGGACCATCACTTTGTGTGTGTCTGTCTGTGTGTGTGTGTGTGTGTGTGTGTGTGTGTTGTCATAAGGGGTCAGGATATTAGATATAAATTTGATATGAAGTACTCCTTTACCGCTCTGTTTTCTCTAACTATAACAAAAATATCCTCCAAGGATTTTAAACTACTCTAGTGTGTGTGTGGGACGGTATAAGTGTGTAGTCAATTTATTCATCTTCTTGTGTATGTTAGGTTTATTTCACATTAATTGCACACCAAAATCACTCGTAAAAGCGGACACACACACACACACACACACACACACACACATTCTCAAGGCTGTGACAGCAAATATTTGCTCATATGTGAGGGCAGCTTGTAGGTTTTACCCTGAGTAAACACACCGGCGTGGATATGGAATAATAATGTGGTGCGTTTTAGCAGCTGCTCGGTCACAGCCTGTTTACAGTGTTGGAGGGTTCTCTTAAGCGCTAATTTGTCACTGTCAGCTTTCTGGTACCTTCTATGCCTTTTTTTTTTTGTGTGAAGGCCAAACCCGGCGTGCAAAGAGGGTGCTTTGATTCTATTTTGAGAGTGTTTGTGAGAAAATATAGATTGTGTACAAGTGCAGCTGTGTCTGTTGTATGGTGCCTCGGTTTGCGGATGCATGTCTTTCTGCGAGAGGGTTCATGGAGTGAGCGTTTGTATGTGTTTCAGTGCTCATTTATGTTTTTTCTTTTTTTTACATTTGTGTGTGTGGCTTTGTGTTTATCTGAGTTTGCGCCATACTTCTGTGGCTAGGTGATTCGGTAAATGACAAGAAACTGGTTTAACGGTGGAAGTAAATACACAGCCAACCTGGTTGGTTAATAGAGGGTTCAGCTCTGTAATCAGCGCCTCAAAAATGTACACGACAGCAGATTTATTATCCTGTGTGCGAGCGTGTTTTCTGGCACTGTCTTTAAACTTGCCAAAATGTATTTTTCTATAAACACAAGCCCTTTGTGTGTGTGTGTGTGTGTGTGTGTGTGTGTGTGTGTGTGTGTCAGCCTGTCTACCTCTTTGCACACATCTATTTTTGACAGTGTGTGTTTGTGTGGGTGCGTGAGCTTGCATTTCCTGTCGGCGTTTGTGTTTGTGTGTTTGGTTGTTGAAAGATTTACAGAGTTGTGTCTCACCTCCATCGGTCAAGTTCTGTCTTGTCCCAGTCTGTCTTGTTACCAAGACTAGACATACGCACAATGCTTCTTTCTTTTATCGAACACACTAAACCCTTCAATATACCTGTATGATGCAATATGCAGCCCTCGTTTAACTTTGAAAATCAAGAAAAATAGTAAAAACACATCGTGTTTAAACATTTTACATTTTGGATGTCAGTATTGTATTGATAATAAACACTCTGCAACAAATACCACCTCAATATAAGCTAACAGTGTAGACAAAAGTATGAAAACTGTATTCAAAGTGAAACAGGGGATTTGTATATTGAGTACAAGGCATGTGAAAGTATTTTATGCATGTACGATATACACCACGGTCATATTGTTTCAAAAACCAAACATTTTGTTTTCCATTATTTAAAGCTTGGTTAACATTTCTTTATTGATTCAGCATCTCTTCCTTTGTTATTCTTTCTCCATCTGAAGGCAAATCAGGTCTCCGAACATCCAGAAGCAAATAGTGCCGGGCGAGATGAGGAAAGACGTAATGATTGATGGACATCCACACTCTTTGTCACAGGTCAGTTGCCTTGTTTCCTCTAGTTAAGCTCTTCATCAGAGGGCAGTATGGCTCATACAGATACTCTCTAATAGTACTTACCTTTTTCCCTTTCTCTTCTATCACTGCGTTCTCTTACTCCTGCTGTGTACAGTTCTGCTCGCCTGATCATAGAGCCCCCCCCCAGCCTCTCATGCCTCTTGCCCTCCCTCAGTGTTTCCCAGATTCATTGGAAGAGACAATCAATTAGTCCGGCTGAAATCAGATCCATATGCCAGCCTGCAGCAGTGGCAAAGTGGCTCTGAAGAGAATTGTCAAGGAGTGAGTGAAGTCAAGCAAGAGCTTGAGTGATTGCCCCTCTGACTTTCCATTTACCTGATGCATTACAGTGGAATGAAAGTGTTCTGTATGTGTATTTATTTATCCCTTTTAGTCAACATGAACACAAAAAACAGGATCTGTTCTCGCTATACAATGAAACAGTTGAACACGATGGTATTTCTCTCTTGTGCAGACAAGGACAAACGCAAACCATGATTAAAAAAACAACACATAACATTCATATAGAGACAGAGAGGACACAATTCCTTTTGAGTGAACACATTTTCAATCCGTGTGTAGATGTGAAATCTGTTAATATAAAACAAGTTTAACAATCATTTATGTCTATTTTTAAAATGACTATTTTGTTAATTTGAATACCTACAGTATTTGCAAACGGTTTGGATAATTGCAAAATGCTTTAAGTTAGGTTATAATGCAGAATTTTCCATCTGTTTTAAGTGCACCTGTACAAAATGTTGTATGATGAGGAAAGTATTTAACACTGGTAAAATCTTTACATATACGTATATACAGTACAACATGTAGAAGTAAGACCACGTAAAAGTTTAGTCATGATTTAACTACAGCTCAAAATCTATCGACTTGGATGTTATGTACAGAATGCATTCCGTACATTGTGTTTATTAGCAGCCAGGTTTAGTTGTAACCTCTATCTCGCTCTCTCTTTTCCTTTGCTCCCTCCCTGCTCCCTCCATTTATCTCTGGTTCCATCAGGAACACACCACGCTCCGAGGGTAAACACAAACAAACAGGGCCTTCCTTCATTGCTCCCTCGCCCCGTCTTTCCAGGAGAGTTTATGTGGGAAAAGATGATAGCATCTCTTCGCTCCATCGTCTCCATCGCGGCACGCTGCACTTCACAAACACAGAGAAAACACACATCGGAAATGTTCACTTCAAGCCTTTGCACTGGCCTTTTTTGCCTTTTTTTGCTCTTTTATCTGTTAGCAACACTCCATACTCCCCCCCCCCAACTGTTCACTCATCCAGATTTGTTAAGCCTTCTGTTTGCATTTTTTTCTCTTGCTGCAGAGTGTTAGCACAGCAGGTTCCTTCCTGAATGTGTTTCCTTTATATCTGCCGCTCCCTGATATTATGTGGGATCATTAGAGATCACATAGGGTGGTTCGCTGCTCCCTGTTGCAAACATTATTAACATGAAATGATATCCGGTGGTGAGTGACGCCACATTCATTTTATGTCCTGTAGTCTGGAGGTGTTTGTGGTGACAGAACACTGTACATCAGTTTTCTCCATATTTATGTGATGGAAAGAGTTTTTAAATTGGTTAGGTTTTTCAAAACTGTAGCCTGAGCTGGGCCGTAGCTTGTTCCATCCGTCTGGACACTTGAATGAAGTGTACATGAAGCTCCTGCCTAAGCACACATACTTAAACATTTTTAGATCATGAAACAGAACACAAAGTGGTAAATGCTGCACACTTGACTTTTCTGACAGAGACAGATGCTCCAGTCTGCCTGTCTGCCTATGCGGGTAAGTGGTTTGTATGCCTGTCTGTGTGTGTGTGTGTGTGTGTGTGTGTGTGTGTGTGTGTGTGTGTGTGTGTGTGTGTGTGTGTGTGCCTGTGTGAAGTTAAGGATCATAGGTACATAGCAGCTGGAAATATGCATTCTCTCACTCTCTGCTCGTTTATTTAACTGATTATAATCCCTCCATCAAACCAAAAAGGGCCAGACTCCATAATGGCCCTTCCCAAGAGTATAAGGTGATGATTGGTGGTGCAGAGGCAATTATCTTTCTTTTCCACCCCACTCTCTCTATCTCCTTTGCCTTTTTTTCCCCCCATTTCTTATGTTTTTAACAGCCAGCAATATTCTCTTGTTACTAATAAGACTTACATCACACACTGATATGCACAGACACAGAGAGTCACACACATGTATGGGGCACATGTATACACACACGCACACGCAGAGGCAGACACAGCTTGCTGGGTGACTTACACTTGGGGGTGTTCTGTTGAGATGAGCTGCCTTGTTGAAAAATGCTTCCATAGCGCGAAACGATAGCAGAGGCTATCCATCTCCCTTATGAAATAATGCTACCAGAACAAATAGCTACATGTATATATTAAATTACTACTCACTACGTATGCATTGTCAGAGTAAAGGGAGCACGTTTTAAGATTTCAGGGGAAGCATTTATCAATGGACAATTATCCCCTATCAAATAATGCTCCCAGTACAGAATCACTATAAAAGATAGCACTGCATTTGCACATTAAGGAAACAGGAAGCATATTTTTATAGACAAAAAAAGCCCCTAACAAATAATGCTCCCTGTACTGCACAGAGCCGCATGGTAGCACATCTCGATGGGTAGCACTATTCGACAGAACAGGGGGTCCAGCCCTGGCAGCCTCTTCACAGCAGGGTGTCCGTGTGTGTGTGTGTGTGTGTGTGTGTGTGTGTGTGTGTGTGTGTGTACATGTGAATGTTTCTGTCTACTGGGCGGGGCAGGACAAGAACTTGTTGATTCTGGTGCATCGAATTACTGGCTGTCTGTCACATCCAATTACAACTTTGGTCTGCTGACACACACAGCCTGCCTCTGTATGTGTGTGTGTGGGTGTTGGTCGCTCACCTCCAGCTGTGTCATGCTGACGTGAAGATCCACAAGTATCCACTTGTGATTTGGCTGGCCTCAAAATGTTTTTTTTATCACACTCAGGAATAATCATACTGCTTCAGTTTAAGCCACTATCACTGAATAAGTCTGTTTTTTTGTCATAAATATTACTTTTTTTTATGATTGAGCCAATACATTTGATATTAGCTGTGAATTTGGACATCAATCTTTGAGTTGGAGTGATGTCATTTTCCACCTCATTGAGTGTGTGTATGATACTGGTATGGACCCAGGACCGATTTTCACTTTTGAATATTTATTAGCAGCAGTTAAAAAGCCATCCATATGCATGTTTCTGGCAGTGTCTCTGAAAGTTTTCCATGCATTTTGCATCTCCTCGCATGAGCTCACAATAGATTTGCCATGTGTTTGCTGTGGCACTGCTTAGCCTGGAGCTCATTTTTTACAATTCAAAAATTGTACCTCCTGTGAGTGCTCTCAGAGAGAGTGATAATATGACACTAGTCCAATGCACTTATCACTGACAAATATAACACACACCTTTACAAAATACTAACTTTCTGTGCTAGAAAAAGTATTGCAGTTCCTTCTAAAACACATTAGCAAACGGTCATACTCACTGGACTATGTGACATGAAGGTTATACTGCTGAGACGTTGTATTTTGCAGAACATGGGAACACCTTAATTCATACAGTGGTTTGGATGTTTCCACTATTCTTACGAGATGTTTTGTGGTATAGACCTGATATAACTTCAAATAAAAGCCCATCCCAATTTAAGTCTAGCCAGGTGTTGCCTCATGTTTCCACATATAAATGCAGGCCTCAATTAGAGGGCCCTATGCATTTAGTGTCAAAATATTTTGTGGATCAAAATAAGGAGAACAAAATGAAAATGAACTTCAACGTCTGAGAAGAAAGAAGTTTACAGTAGATTCATATGAGCTTGTGCATCTACAGAACGTGAGCACGGCCTCTCAAAGTCTCCTGCATGGTGATCTGCATAAAGACTAAAGAAGTTTAAACCTGAGTGAGTGACAGGAGGGACAACATTTTAACGCTGTAACATCTGCTTCAAGCACTAATAGGCCAGCGGTGTGGCTCAGTTAGTAGAGTCGGTAGTCACTTAACGAGAAGGTCAGGTTTGAACCCCCAGCTCCAGCAGCCACATGTCCGATGTGTCCTTGGGCAAGACTATTATTCCAAGTTGCTCACGCTGCTTTGTTGGTGATGTGTAAGAATGTATGAATGGGATTAGTTATTTCTGATGGTCACTTTAAATAACAGCCTCTGCCATCACTGTGTGAATGGGTAGGTGTGACCTGCGGTGTAAAAGTGCTTTGAGTAGTCAGAAGACTAGAAAAGCACTAAACATGCTTAAGTCCATTTACCAGCACTCTGTGATAATTAACAGAGGTCTCTCCCTCTCTCCCCCACATTGATGGAAGTTGGCATAGATTGGCTGTCTTAAAATGCAAGGCGAAATTGTGATTTGAAATTTACAATTTTATAGTCTTTGCCTTGTTGGCTGTGCACAAGTTTTGTTTGAAAATAATGAAAGGCCAGTCTCTTACTGATTCCTGTCCCAAATACAGGCAGTGTAATTTCATAGACTGAAGTAAATAGAAGCTTGGGCTATTAATTGAAAGGTTATGGTCATTTTCTGAGATGAAGTGAAACGTCATCATTTCACAATAAAGTGTGAAATAATCTTTTTTTTTTTTTTTTTTTTTTACCAGTTTTGCTGTGTCGCACTCTAGAGAGTATCCTAAGCATTCTCATTGCCGTTCACAATGTCTGAGGCTTGAGCACACCTTCTGGCATCTTAATAGGTGCACCCTGTCTTCGTCATTTGCTTGATTGATTCATTCTCAAAACACTCAGCTTGCCTTTCTACAATTTGGTTTAGATGACCAGGAACTGCTCTACAATGCATTCAGTGAACAGTTGTTATTGTGGGCTAAGTGTTGCTTCCTCTCTTGATGTAAGGTTTGATTAACTGTGGCTGTATTGACATTATGTTTCATGATTAGTCGTTTATGTGAGCCATAATATTTACCTATTATCAGACAAATAATTGCTATTTTGTATTTTGCTTGCATGGACTTGATGAGAATCAGTTTGGCACCTCTTTATTTTGTGTTTAGCAACAAGTGTAACTGAACACTCTGTCCAGTTAGTCTCCAAGGCTTCACATTGCTTCCATAAAAAGTGTGAACGTGTGAACTTAAAGCCAAGTCAACTTTTGAGGAGAAGAAGAGAAAGTATTTTTTCTTTAAATGAAAGGAAGAGTCGGGGGTTTATTATTTCTGCGCAGTGTTTTCTTTCGCAGTTCCATCACCCAGTGTGGAGAGGGATCCTTTTCCCCCGCTCACCATAGGTGTCAGAGAGGCCACACACAAACTGAGCATGCAAACACACACAGTCTACACCAGGCTCACACACTCACACATGCACACACTCTTTATAGATGAAGGAAAAGTTCATAGCACTTACAAAACCTCTATCCATCACTTATCACTCTCTTTTGCTTTTTCTGTGTCTTTTTTTCTCTAATAGAAGTGTTGTTCTTCTTTCATCACAGCTTTTAACTTCCTCAAGTCTTTCATTTGTTTCTATTTTACATTGGCTTTAAACAAAAAGACTGACACATTCTGTTTTGCAGATTCATTGATCTCTTAGTGCAAAAACAAATGATGATGACGTTTTAAAAACAAACTATACTCAAAGAAAAAATACTTTGTCCCCGGCTTTTGCTACTTTGCTTCCAAACCTCCGTCTCCTCCTGTGAACTCCTTTCGCTGCTCAGCCTACTCTATCAGCTTCCCAGGACGCCATGCGGGACACAGCGGAGCGGATCAGGGAGCTGGAGAAGGCACTGAGGGAGAGCATGAACACCTCGGCACATAGGGAGGCTCTCTGGGCGCAGGAGGAGGCTGACCGTGTTCAGGCGCAGAGACAGGTTTACTAAGTGTTCCACCTACTGATGGAAGACCAAAACACACTCATACACCCGCACATAATGTCACACATCCTTACACAAGCTTTTAAAGGAGCACAGGTAACAGCTCACCTAGGGACAAGAAGGACCAGTGCCAAGTTATTGAGATCTTAACTGCACTCCCATGTGGCCAAAAGTGTAACTGCTAGTAAACTGTGGTTAATACGATCCCTAATAACTTAATATGTAGCTCTTAACCAACAAATACCATTATAACAAAATGGATCACTATAATTCTATTTTTTTCTTAATTTATTTTACTCCCAAAATAGTCTTTTTTTTCCCCCCTAGACAAAACTGAAGCAGAATTCGAGCATCCTCCTCTCTATGAGCGAATGTTGTACATACTGTCAGTTTTTGTGCATACAATCAGAATTCATTGAAATATATTTAGACTTGTATTCCTGCTGTATACAGGCTGTCCTTTCACTCTGCATGTGCTGCTATCTATCCCTCTGTCTGATTGCCAGCTGCTTACATCTTTAAGTGGGTCCAAAAAAAAAAAGCACACATGTGTGCGTTTCTATATGTGTGAGAGCGTAGGTGTGTCTGTGGTGGGAAAGAGAAACAGGCCGAGGGAGAGTGTTTCCTCCCGGAGTGAGCGTGCATTTGAATGAGAATGACCTTGCATTACTTACGAGTGCCACTAGTAATATGAGAGCAATCTGCGGTTAAAACAAGAATTAACATTTTGAGGCAGAATGGCGGCTGTATTTCCTCAAATCAGACACGCACACACACACACATACACACACACACACACGCTCACACATACATTGAGAAGCTTTAAAATTGATAGAGGAGAACTTAGAAGATGAAGAGATTGGTGGGCAGAAGGGGGGAAGTGAGAGAAGGTCAATCTGAGTTTAGAAAATTCAGTGAGAGCCAACGCTAACTGTGGCTTGTTTTTTCCCTTTCTTTGCTGTTTCTGTTCTTTACACGCTCGACTTACGGTCAGCATGGATACTGTGTTTATCAAACAATATTCTGATTCAGTTAGAAGTCCAAAAGAAAAGAAGATATTTATGTCTGTGGGATTTTTTCGCACGCATGGAGATGGATGATTCAGCTTTGACCTAAGTTTACCGACGTGTAGCCAAAATTGTCAGTGAAATCCTTTCCCATCTTGTGACATGTTAAGACTCCTTATCCCTAAAAGCAATACTCTACATGTTTTCATTTTCAGTCAATATACCCTTACACATTGAGAACATAACGAGCCAGCATACAGTCATATTGGCGACTGTGCTTGACACATATTGAACTGGAGTAGAGTTGCAGGTTACAATCGACACCTGGCACTGAAGCTACTCAGTCAGTGATGCTAATTGCTATGTGTTATAAACTGTCTGAACTTCACATGCCAGCATGACGTCAACACACAAAAAGTCAGGGAGTCAACCTACCATTAACATACAGTTACACCATCGTCAGTCCTTACCTCACACTCAGGAGAAAAAAAATAGTGTGTGTGTGTGTGTGTGTGTGTGGAGAGAGGTGTTAAGAGTGTAAAGAGAGGAACAGGTCCTTCTGAAACCTCATCACCTGACCCTGGCACAGTTTCATAGCACCCTGCCAGACTCACATTCTCACATTTTGCCCCCCACCCCCCTTCCCTAACTCTTTCCTTGATTTTCCCCTTTCTTCTCCCCTCTGTCCCAGTGTAATCAGTCTCATGATGTGTAATACGCTGAAAGTCTTCCATTAACCTGACCTGCTGAAATGGAGCATAGGTAATGCCATGGGTCACTTTTCTTCACACCCCAGCTCTCTAAGTCTCCCACTGCGTCTTTGCTCCCCTCAGTCTATCTGGACTTTCTCCTGCAGTCGTTCCTGCTGTTCATCCGCTGTCCCTGAGCCTCGTTCTCTCCCATCTGCCTTCTTAAGTTGTCTCGCCTCATTATCTCCACCCTCTCTCTCCCTTCTCTCTGTTTCGGTTACACCCTCTCTCCCTCTCCCCTCCTCAGTGGCGTTTGAACTAGGCCTTTGAACCAGCAACACCGACGCAAACGGACAAGAGGGATTTGGCCCTTACCTCTGAGCCCCAATCAGCTTAACAACTAAAGGGGCTTTGGGCCAGTCTCAGCGAGCTTTAGCCTGGCTGGGGGGCTTTGCCTTGAAGTTGAGCTAAATTAGCACGCACAGGCTCGCTGTTAAGCTGATTAAGTCCCTAATTTCACTAAAATGCATTGTATTCCTTATTAATGATGTGATTGTGAAGTGAGGGCTAGCCTGGGCGGTGGACTAATGGGGGACTGGGAGGGAGCCAGTTGGCGCATGACGTTTGATAGACATGTGGTGGGTGTAAATGGAGTTGTGTGTGCGTGACCCTTGGCTTTCAAGATGAAAAGACTAGATTTTGGATTCTTTTAAGCCTAAAAGAAGACGTCAAAAATACAACTTTTTTTTTATTTTGGACATTTGGATGTCTTGTTGATATTGGGTGTATGATGATGATACCACTGAGGTCATGTTGTTTTTGGCAGGCACACAGAGTTTAGCTTTTCAACAATGCTATGTAACAGTTCTTGGAAATTGTGACTTTAGGTTTGCCCCTTTCCCACCATTTGGAGTTTCTGTATTACCGACTTGCTTTGCTTTCCCTCTTTCTTCTCTCTTACTTTATGTGATATTCATGACCAGTCAGTGAGCAGCGCTTTATCTGACATCTGTGGAACACACCTAGAAAACCAGTGGAGATTCAGATTGTCCTGAAAATGTGTGAACGATTTGGCCTCTTCATAAAAGAGGCCCATTCTTTTTTTTCCTGTTCTACCCCATGGAGTGCTTCCCCGGTTGCTCTCTTTTTCTATCTCTCTTTTTTTTTAGCTTCTCCCTCTCTTTCTTTCCCTTTGTTCATTTTAGATCCAACCCTTCAGTATCTATTAGTTGAATATCTCATATCACAAACCTGCCAATCATCAGAATAAAACAAAGATAAATAAATGTCCTCATTTCCTACCATTTACTCCATTCAAGCTGGACTACCTAGCACTGCATCCTTTTGTAAAGCACTTGTTGTTCGATGATTGCACACTTCCTGATTCTGGATAAAGACGCCCTAAGGTCACATCCTGTCTGTCAAACAACAGATCAAGTAGGACACACAGGCCTGCATGACTGGAGGGCATACTTGTGTTGTGGAAGAGGATGTAGGTCAGGGTTTGAGCTTTCCTCTCACCTGCTCTAAAGTAGGGCCACACTTTTCAGAGAGAGATACAATAAGTGGAGGGAGAGAGAAAGAACCAGTGTTTCCATTTTCACCTGCATCTGGAGGCTAATATCAATTGTTGTTCATTGTCTGAATGTTTAGGCAGTCATTTCAGTCTTTTCTCAAATTCTTACACACAACTGTTAAAAAAGGGGAAAAAATACTGTCAATAAATGTTGACCTGATTACTAAAACATATCCATGAGTATGCGTGACTGTGCATTCATAGACATGCAGCAGCCCTTGTTTATTGAATTTATTTATCATGATCAAAATAACCCTATCCTTGGTGAATTCCCTGGTATGTTTGTATACTTTTTAAACCTATCTGCATGCGTCTCTCTTTAAATAGTTGGAGGAACTGATGGGGGCTTTGGAGAAGACCCGCCAAGAGCTCGACACCACCAAACTGCACCTGTCCTCCACTCAGCAGTCCTTGCATGAAAGAGACGGACACCTTAATAGTCTACGCCAGGAGAGACGCAAGCAGCTGGAGGAGATTCTGGAGATGAAGTGAGTGTCATACTCTGTTTTTCTACAAAGTAATTATATCTATTTAATGATCTCTAACTATGCAGCCGTAAGCTTTTTTTCCCGTCCAATCATTTAATTGCATTTTTCTAATCAGTAAAAGAGACACTTCAGCATAGCTATCTTACCATTAAGAATACATTAAACTGTATTTACTTGTTGTGAACTGCAGGGCAACTGTTGCTGGCATCACATTAAGACAAACTGTCAGGAAAAACAAACCACAAGTGTTTGTGGTAGTGACTCAACAGCCAGCCCGTATAAGTTTATGATCGTGGATTTTTATAAACATTGCAATGATTGGCTCAGCTTTTCATTGGGTGCTTTTTCACTACCCTGCCCAGCAGCGCCATTGCTGCAGCAGTAACCTGCATTTACCTGCTCACCTGTTCACATGTGCATGTCTGCATAAATGTTATATACGTAGATACCAGAGCTGAGGTTTGTTTGAAGCGGGATCAGCCATCCTTCATGGCTGCCTTATGAAGTTACATTTATTGAGTTCAGGTGGTGCAGTCAGTTAAAAGGAGTAGGTCGGACAAATATCTGTGCAGCTGTTTTATCCGTTTGTTTGCCTGTAAGCGATAGAGAGAGTTAGGAAACCCCAAGAAAAAGGGTGTATTAGCGGCTGCATTTCCATGTGTGAGTGTGTGTCAGCGAGTTTGTCTGAATGTGTAAGTGAGCTTAGTGATCTGTCAGTGGAGCGGCTACATGTGTGTTTGCTTTGAGCGCTCTGATTGAGGGAGCCACATATCTGCTTGTCATGTGCTGCGGAGAAATGCCTTTAATGTCAGCCAGCCAGCGCAGTACAAAAGGGAAGGCTGGCACATGTGTATTATAAACACAACTTAAAGAAGAAAAATCCATTATGCCTCACAAGATCACGCAAGATCTTAAAGAATGTGCGCTTGCGTTTGTTTCAGCCTATAGTATGTGTGAGTGCAAAGTTTGCGCAGGGATCTGACCGCAAAAGCACTCGTGATGCAAACCATCTTCCTTGACTGTTCTCATTTCAACCATCCAAACATTATGACCAATCCTAGAGTTGTTTAGTTGTGAACAATCTGCACTTCTATGTATGTTGATGAAATCAGCATACTTACAGTACAACAACAACACAGTACATGGGAATCTTAGCTTTTATGTTGAATGCAAGTCTCGGCTGGTAAGCGCTAATGGGCATGAGTGTGTGAACATGTGTGCGTATGTTTGTGTGTGGGGTCCTTTTGCATCAGATTTTGTGTGTGTGTCTGTGAACACGTCCGAGGCAGGGGGTTTGGGGTTTGGGGTCACTGATGATGAGGATTAAAGGACTGTTGAATTGCGAGGGGCGAAGCTCCGTGAGACTTGACTTACATCTGAACAAGCCACAAAGATACGCATGCAGAACATACACACAACCATTGTGGAACTCACATATAATCAGTCATGTCTCCAGATATGCACATACTCACACAAACGTTGGCTTTCTTGTTTTTAAAAGGGGGTCGTACTCCAACCTCAGAACTCTGGTCCAAGTTAGTTCAGGGAAAACTAAGCAGGAAAGATAAGGCAGAGGAAGAGAGGTAACAAGAGAGAGGGGGGGGAGGGAACGCAAATAAAAAGATAGAGAAAGAATGAGAGGGAGGGGAGGATGGAGTGGAGGGGCTACACAAACTGAAGTATTTCAAATCTTAGAAATCATGAGAGAAGTTTGATTGAATGCCAAGTTTCTCCTTTTCTCCGCTGTAATGTGGCATTTGTCAAGAAGACCAGCTGAAGCAAACCATGTGAGGCACGTTCCCCAGTGAACTTGAGAGCTCTCTGTGTGTATTTTTTTTTTACATGTGTGTATGTGTGTGTGTGTGTGTGTGTGTGTGTGTGTGTGTGTGTGTGTGTGTGTGTGTGTGTGTGTGTGTGTGTGTGTGTGTGTATAAAAGGGAGAGAGAGAGAGAGACCAGACTCTTGGCTTTTCAACACTGTTAATGAAAGAGACAAGAGGGGGAAAAATCATTTTCAATATCCTCTCATTGCATGCTGGGTCTCCTAGCGTATAAGGTGTGTGCGTGCTTTCACATTTGTGTGTGTGTGTGTGTGTGTGTGTGTGTGTGTGTGTGTGTGTGTGTGTGTGTGTGTGTGTGTGTGTGTGTGTGTGTGTGTGCGTAAGGGAGAGTGGGGGATAGTGAGAGAGAGTGCATTTTCATATTTGCCCTTTTCACATATATGGCTAAATGCTTGATCTATAAGGAGCAGTGAGGGTCTGTTCTGTCACCCCACACCAGATTGAGTTTCCACCAAACTGTACAGTATTCTCACGCGTGCACACACACATTCAGGCACACACACACACACACACACACATTCAGGCACACACACACACACACACACACACACACACACACACACACACACAGTAACACAGAGACACATATGGCTTTCAGAGGAGCTAGTCATTTAACAAGTCGGGGGTTCACAGGGTCTAGGTGCACAATAGAGAACTTAAGTGTTTTGACTGTTTGAAAATGTAGACATTGGCATGTTTCTATAGTCTAAGGGGGAAAACGCATCACACCACAACACTGTAGAGGCTTATTTTAAGAACGACCCTCCTGTAGACTCTGATGATGCAACTGATATTATCTCTGTTTACATTCTAGTGAAGGAAAATTAAGACAGAGCAAAGAAAAAGTAGCTCCATGACGGCTCATCGAAAGATTAAAGACATTTTAAAGTAGGACCAGTAAAAAAAAAAGGAGAGTAGATGTAGCAGAGAGTTATGGAGGGAAATTGTAAATGATGAAAAAAAGGGATGATAGAGTGAGTGATTGATAGAGGAGGTGATGGATGGAGGAAGAGAAGGATGGAGGCAATGGTGGCAAAAAGAACAGGGGAGGAAGATGGACTAGAGGTGTGAGAGGTGAGAGGAAGAAGTCTGTTTGGACGAGGAGCTAGATAGAGGGGGGGCAACTGGTGAGGATAAAACAATTAAGCACAACACACAGCAACCAACACCTGCACTACCTGTGATGATTATTATCTTAGATATACACATGTTTAGTCAAATTTTGGTGAAAAATCTAAATACCGGTATGTTCATGTTAGATTGAGTTTGAAAGACAAAATCATTGTGCTTTTTCTTTGGCCTTCTTATTCATTTTACTTTCTGATAAGGTAATTTACTAATGTACTAGGAATGCTCCAATTGATCAGCCAATCAGATTGGAATTAATGCTTTCAGTTACTTATCACAAAAACAGATCACCTGTTGTTTATACTCTGATATCTGCGACTGAGAGAATCACTGAGTGTGCGGTGTAGTGTAGTCCCCGCCTTGTTCACTGTGCCACTGTCACAGATTAACTAGTGTTGAATTAACTGGTGACACTCCTGTAGATGTTGGGCAGGCACCTTGTGGACTCTTGTTTTCAATCAAAATAACGTTAAACAATCTACTTTGCCGCTTGCTTCGTGAATATAAGACCTCATCAGTGTTTTCGGAGACATTCAAGTTACTAGAAAAGAGTTTTTGGAGTCCCAAAGCAACTTTAAAGAGTTGATTATTGAATGTTCTGAGACTTATGGCCTTCATTTATTAGACTTTTTGCACTGTTTAGCCTATTGAATAGGTATAATACTCTGTTTTAGTCTGTTAATAATTGTATAAATGTACACGTGATTGATGAATCATCATATTGTGTATTTCAGTTATCCTCACTGTAGGATACTTGTTGCGTTGCTACTTTTTCAACTGATCTGTTGAACAAAGTAAGTGAGAGCATGTTGACTTCTGTGGTCTTTTCATCAGTTTACTCTGCCACTTGTACAAGATCCCAGTATATATCCTACAAAGCAGGGTAGACTGACCAACCGCTGAACCAGCTGGTACAACAAAACACAAAATATAATCCTCATTGGCAGTGCATTGGCAGATCTCACTTAATGATGATCAGTGTCGTAATTGGCAGCAAAAAAAAAAAAAACACTATGGGGGCATCCCTATACCACAACCTTTAAAACTGTGTTGGACTAAAAACAGCATCTTTTGCTGCAATCCTTGCTCACAACTTGTGGACTATTTGAACAGAAACATACTCTTTTAAATGTATAAATGACCTATCTTTAAAGCTCAATGTGTTTTTTTCCTGTATGCCGTTAATGCTTTAACATTGAGACAAAGGAAGTGGAAATATCATGAATAATATCCTGAAGCCCTAAATTTAGATCGTGTCCCTGAATAGTGTTCATGTGTCTGTTTGTTGGCTAGTTACAGTAATCCATGGCATAATGAAGCTTAGAGCAGTAGCGACGCTATGACTTTTAAAATCCCTGATGTAGACATCCTGTCTGCACAGAGTAGTTGCCATGGTTACTCCGACTAAACACACAGAGAGACCAGCTGTACTGGCAAGGTCATGTCCCTGCTCACTGATCTCTCTGAGGGGCCTGGACACACACTTTACACACATATTCAGCATGTGCGCTCACACACTCATCCAAGCACATTGTTTTTACTCAAATGGTTTAAAAATGTAATTCAAATGTACACACAGAAAGTTTGAAACGGCGCACGCACACATGTACGCATACTCACATGTAGACAAGTGTGGTGTTACAGTGCCATTGTTGTGATAAGTAATGATGAGACATTACTTGGCGCTGTGTGAATGGGATTCTCTGTGTTGCAGTGATGAGGAGGGGCTGACCACACATCACCTTCCTCTCTCTACGAGCAAGTTTGTATGTGTGTCGCCTCGTGGGAACTTCGGGCCATTCATCATGTCTGTCTGTGCTCCCGTGCCCTCTGACACGCGTGTTTACCTTCAACATGTGTGTCGGCTGTCGGGCCTGTAGGTGTGTTATTATGTCAGGGCCGAGGCATGCTCCACCCTTCTCCTCCTCCTCCTTTGAGGTTTTTTTTTTTTTGGTCAATAGAGGGCTTCATCGTATAGAGATCCAGCTTCTGAGTTCTTGTTCGGTACTGTAAGTTCATGACAGACTCTATG